ACAAGCTTGCTCACAATCAGCGTACAACCTGTAGCCCGGCATAACATTACAGTCTGCCTGTCTTCATGGAATAAGTCATCGACATAATCTACGTCTGCTCTTAACGCTGCGAGACTTAAATGCAAGAGGCTACTTGCCTAACAATATACCCTGCTTACACCCAATTTTTCAAAACGCCCCATACTACAGTTTTATAAAAATTAACTACAAATTCAAACAATGCAGAATTGGAAGTTTGCTTCGCATTCCTCCTCAAGAGAACGGAGGCCCTTCTGTGCCAGACTTTGAAGATGACGAGCCAAGGAAATTCCAAGACCTGGAGACTGTATAGTCAGGGGAAAGCTAAATGGAAACATGGGCTAATAATATTCCATTTGAAGTTCTCATGTCGATGAAGAAGTCGATGTTGTGACCGTGTGGACAGATACCAACGTTTCGGAGAAACATGCTGCATCCACCTTCAGACGATGGTATCTGTAAGCCCACGTAGCGTTACAACCCAGATCAACCTTGGCATGAGTTAATAACGATATATCGGAACAGATATTACTGATGAAATGCCTAACATTGATGTTAAAACTACAGCAATGCGCCAAAAGCTGTGATTTACTGCGGTAAGCAGAGATAAAATTAATGCCTTAATACTGAAGATACCAATGCAGGATCAGATCAAGATGACAACAACTATTTAAGAATGCAAAGAAAAGCTGAGTGAAACAGTTCAAAAACAAACAGGAAATTCCGTGGATTGACAATCGGAAGCTGTTGCATAGGACGCTTTAAAATCAAATAAAAAATGTGCCAAACCTTGTATACTACAAACCTAAATAACTCCGGCTTTACTTCCTTCAGAAACAAACCTTACGTAAATACTACATATGAATGTTCCCATATTTCGGTTTATTTGTTAGTATCAGTAGCGTAGGCGAACCTAAATACACCCGGGACGTAGGATTTACTCATCGTCCTGATGACGGAAGCAGCATGCACCGCAGAAACATCTTCTTCTTCTACTTCTACCTTAGTACACTACGCAACAACTCAGACGAACGCCGTCTATGGACTGTAGTTAGTATTTAGTACCCGTGAAATCGTGTATAATCTAGCCTATTTAAAATAAGGTAAAGAGTGACAAGACTAGAAAAATCTTATAAATTATTGTTTATAATATAAACTTTATATGATGCAACACAAAGCCGTTTGACATATAAAGCCGCCTTAGCTTTGAATGACCACTCGGTGTATACAATGAAACCCACGTATTCATAAGAATAAATATAATGACTGCAAGGAAAAAATCTTTACAAAGCAAGATTCTTCAAAAGGGCTACTTGTGGATCACAGCAAGTTCACAATGTCAATCAAAATACATGGCGCAACAACAGAAGTAAACAAATAATAAATAAATACCCAAAACAATAAACAAACTTACCGTGAAACTAGGCTATGAAGCCATCACTTGAGACAAGCCTTCGGATACAGCCAATGAAATTAGATTTCTTTGAATATTGCATTGCAACGCACATTCATACAATAACGTAATGGCATTACAAACACGAGATTAAACTCCGGTAACAGACAAGCTCACGTTCTACTTTGGACTACATCGACTAAATTTACATACAACCTACTTTCCTAACATTTATTATCATTCTCCATGTTTTCCTTCTGTCTAATAAATTTTCCTACCAAAACACGCGTTTCTTATTCCACTCATTCACAACTGTCTCATCGGTTCAATTTCAATAATACTTTCGGGTGAATTTCATAAATACCAAAGTTCCTTAATACTTAAATTTCTTCTTCCTTTCTTTGTTTCATCTGGTTTTCAAATGCTTACCCACATATTATTCTCCAAAAAATAAGACAGTGCGTTACAGAAACTTGCAAAACAGGGGGAAAATTTTCCACATTAATACTGAGGCTTCAGGAAAAGTTTTTCAAGAGAAACAAGCAGTTTATAACTATTCTATTCTTACTTCACATACGAGTATTAAATCTTCTTGTAATGTTGTTTTAGTCGGGAGATACTCGAATAATTAGAAGGTTCGATATTTAATTTTGACAACAAGTTCACTTACCTAACAAACAGCGTATTTCATTAATAAAGCCTAAAATATTTCCCTTGTATTTCTCATTTCTATGATCAAATTATGCGACCTTGGTATTCTGTTTTTATGTAAACCTAACCTGTATTGAGGTCATGCAAGTTTAAGATCGCATGCATCAATCCCTGGTTTTCGAAATCTGTAAATTAACTCCGGTTGCACATAAATGACTTGGTTCTTTAAAGTATTTATAAAAATAAGAAAAATATAAACTGAGGCTCTTCGGTGCACGCAAGTTATACTGAACCAATCTCTGAAAAGTTGTTCCAGGAAAAACAAAACATCACGCAGACTTCTATCGAGTGACTCATTTCGGATTATCCAAAACCTTCAATTTCTGGGCCAGACCGTCACGAAGCAGACCGTAATAATAACAAAACTGTAAATTATCGTACATTCAAAAGTGTGGCTCATTCAAGACGAATCTCCTTTGAAAACATAAGACAGCAGATTTCTTAAAATGTATAACCTCTCTTATTCTTCGGGGAGAGCACAGGGATTATTGGACTATCATTGCATTGTCCAACTCTGGCTTTCGGGGGGGGGGGGGGGGGGGCCGGAAATAATGAAAATTAACCGACGTTTCGGAAATAATGCAGTTGCCATCTTCAGAGTGAATATTCAACTATAATGTTTGCCGAGACGTTGGATAATTTTCAACATTCGAAGCTGCTCATCCCCGAAAACCGAAGTTTTTACGAATTCCAGCCGCGAAAACCTAAGGGCAAGAATTACTATGGCAACGGCCCTCCCGGGCATCCCGACATCTCTCCTTCAGCGACGTTTGCAAGGCACTGCTTTCTGACATATCAACCCCACTTTACACTGGTTTTACGTAACACGTGTCACACATTAGTCCGTATTTCTATACTTAATTAAGCAAATTACTCTAACATATGATTTGTTGCTGTTAATGTAATTTTTTACCCTGCACATAGACCGAATTTTGTGGGGCTGCCTCCACAGATATGTGAGAACTTACAACTGAGCGCTGTTTCTATCTACACATTTCAGTAGTTTTCGTGACGAACGACAAAAAAAAATATCCACAAAAAGAAAAGAGAAGAATTTATTTTACATTTTCTTGCGTATCTTCTATTATGTATGTAGATAAGCTCATTAGGCCTGTCATAGGCTCTTTGCTGTTGACAAACACTCAACAAAGGAATTGAAATATTATTATTATTATTTAGTATTATTTATTTATTTAGAATTATTAAATTGAATTATATTACTTAGGTTAGCGTGCCAAGGTGGTCTAGTGGTTAGAACGCTGGCCTTGTAATCCTGGGGTCTCGGGTTCGATTCCCGGCGGTGCCCGAATTTATAACTTGTGTTGGGCAAGGCCGTGGTCTAGGCAACACGGAGTTTTCCTCCGGGGGCTTCCCCGGTTTCTCCGTGGCATCCCAACAATTACTCCATTCACACACAGAAGAAGGCAATGGCAAACCACTTCTGGATCATCTACCAAGAACGTATATGAACAGGTCCCAGTCCGAGAAAAGGATGGAAGGATCCTGTTCATATGGACCTGTCGTCAGACAGAACACTAAATAAATAAATTACTTAGGTATCATATTTAGCACATTTACTTATAAAATATTATTCAATAAATGAATCGAATGATTATTATTATTATTATTTAGTATTATTTATTTTATTTAGAATTATTAAATTGAATTATATTAATTAGGTATCGTATTTAGCCCATTTACTTGTAAAATATTATTCAATAAATGAATCGAATTATTATTAGTCAAGCACTTAAATAAATAAATAAATTTAATTGAATTATTTTTGGCATCACGACATTATACTACAAGCTGTCGATAGTGGTGATGCTTTGATCCTTTTCGAACAACCATGAAGATTACGCAAATTGGAACCGCGGGCGTAAAGACTGAAGTCGATTAAGGGCTTAAATCCATGTCCCTTTAGGAAGTTGTATGCATTCTGAAATGGCGTAATTGGATTTAAATGGTTCAAGATTGGGTGTAAATACAAAAATTCCTTTCAGAGGGGGTGCGCTTCCAAGTTCTAGAGCCTAGAACATAGGTGGCTATATGGATGGATGGATGGATGTAATAGTCAGTGAGTGAGTGAATCGATGGAGGAGTGGATGAATAGGGCGAATGGATCTGATGAACACACGAATTAATGCAATAGGCTGAGTAGATGGACAAATGAACGCATCGGGTGTATGGGGTGAGACCGTCAGACGTGTGAGTTGGCACATTTTTCCTAACAGTGCTCTTCAATGCGGGTAATCCAACGGTTCAAGCCCACTTTGAGTATCGTAACCACCTGTTAAGAACCCAATTCGAAATCAATTTTACAGACTCAAGTTTTCCCACGTACCCCACGGCTACTATTAGTAACGTGACTGTAGGTAGGGGCCGTCGCCGGCTATCGTCGAGGAACTCGCAGTTAAACAAGTCCGTTGACAGTCCAGGTGCGTTATATTTTCTCGGCTTCTAATTGCAACTTGGCTTTGCGTACGTGCGTTCACCTAATGACAGATTCTTACAGTCGATGTTGCACTACGATACATTTACATTTGCTGATGATCCACGTTACAATCTGTAGTCTGGTAGAAGCAAGAAGACGGACCTGTAAAAAGCTAGTGAATTTCTACCAGACTACATGGCGTTACAACCCAGAAGGCAGTCGCCTGATGCTGTGAGGATGTTAACTGGGAGTATCTCTATAACAATGACATTATCGAGGTGGTGTTTTCAGTTTGCCGAGCCCAGATGCACCCGTATCACCCTGACACAAAGGTACAAATTACCGACGTTTCGGATGAACACGCTGCCTCTTCCAACTCCGAATCTACAGAGGTTTCCTGGTTCGGAACTGTGCCAACTGCAGTTATGACTGAAAAGCACTCACCACATGGAGGGCGTCGGTGTCCCTGCGCAGGACATCGTGCGTGGTCGTTGTCCTCTGTCCCGCAGAGACCGCCGCTGCCGTCAGCTGATTGTAATGATGTGCCGCTGCGGCAGCCTGAGCCGTCTGATGGAGCGAGTTGAGCGTTTGTGAGTACGGGTCTGTGACTGCAGTCACGGAGTTGAGGTAGTCCAGCTGGTGATGACTCTGAGCGGCGGCGGGTGACGCCGCTTGATGATGGTGGTGACTCGGGGGCGGGGGTGGGAACGGCGGTGGGAAGTAGGGCGGCTGGAAGTCCGTGGCGGACACGGA